CGTACGCGAATATATTATTTGCAATGTTATGATATGTTACTTTACGATACCATAATACGGTGTATAAGAAACTCGATGTTCTTCGGGCTTGAATTCTGAGTCATCCGATAGGCTAGATAAATTACATTATTCCTTCATTATACTAGCGACCGACGTTGCGGATAGAAAAACCAGGCCGATAGTTCATCGGATTTCATCCGTGAAATGCCACTAGCCTGAGGAATTGAGAGCGAAAGAGCAGCGACGCGATATTTTTGCTTCATATATATATATATATATATATAATATATATGTTACACACACACAACACACACACACACACACACACACACACACACACACACACACACACACACACACACATACACATGGATATTAATTGAGAATGATGCATGACGATTTTCTAAAAATAAGAAAAATGAATAAAGGAACGAAACACTTCTTTATATTTATGATATTAAGTATTTTTAATCCACACTATGATTTTTTTATAAATATATTGTATTCTACTTGTATTAATTTCCTAAATGTTTGAAAAATTTCAATATACTTGCTTAATTAATAAATGTTTCTATGTATATGTACACCATATAAAAATGTATATTAAATAGAAAAAAAATAGTTTGGAAGATAGTCATATTTCGGTATAGAATCGAAAAAAATCCCAGGTAGCATAAAATATTTTAAATTCTCATTTAATATGTTCACGATATCTTAAAATACTCTTCAAGGAATCTCTAAAAATACATTTTGGATGATTTTTGGACGTTTTGTGCTATCTGGAATGATTTGTTATTTTTAATTATTTCCTTTAAGAAAAAAAATTATTTTGGAGGAATTATTTTATCCTTAGCTCAAAGAAAAAATCTTTAATGCTACATATAACGTAAGATTATTATTATTAAAATTGTTATTAAAATTTTACATAAATGCTTTTCCCAACATGAATATATTATCTTCTAAGCTTGAATAATATTTTTTTATTAAAATACAAAAATGAAAATAGCCGTTGGTTTAAAAGTTTAATCATAGGAAGGTAAATGATTCTGTTCTCTTGGTAAACTTCACCATTTAGTATCGATTATAGAGCTCTGTGTTATTGTACTATCGCCATTTTATTGCTTCATTTATTTCAATCCTTCTTTTAATCATCACAAGTAAATCTTTTGTTTTTATCATCAATGTTTTAACATTCCAATATATTTCTTTAACATTGCACTATAAAGTTAAACTAAAACCCTCTCTCTCTCT